AAGTGGGTTATGAACTCCCATTTTTACCCCAAATACAAGTTGCAGAATCACATCGGTTACACATCCACATTTTTACATAATACCACATTAGTGACCGTTGTATTCTGCTACTTTTCCTATCCTCTACTATCCCCCCTCCCCTTCCCTCTCATCTTCCCTCTCTACCCCATCTGCTGTTATTCAATTCTCTCCCTTGTTTTTTTCCCCCTTTCCCCTCACAAACTCTTATATGTAATTTTGTGTAACAATGAGGGTCTCCTTCCATTTCCATACAGTTTCCCTTCTCTCTCCCTTTCTCTCCCCCTACTCGTCTCTGTTTAATGTTAATCTTTTCCTCATGCTCTTCTTCCCTGTTCTGTTCTTAGTTGCTCTCTGTTTTTATGTATTTAAACAAACACAATTGCACTTGAACTTATTTACCATTGAAAGTGTGTCAACATTATGTTATTTGGAAATGTATCCAACCAAACTCCCACTTCCTATTCTGCATTGCTGTAATTGAGATTAACAGATATGGATAGGAGTTAGAATAGAGACACATACAATTGTTTAGATGAACTATAAACTAAGTAAGGGAGGCAGAGAAATAGCATAGCTATTTAAAGTCACATGCACTAAAATAGAAGATTTATTATGAAACCATATATCAAATTTGTCTTTTGCATTTAATTACATATGAAAGTGGGAGTTTTTCATTTCCATTTTTGAAGCAAAGAGTAGGGGGTTAGACAAATGTGTTAGAGTGGTTTATAAAAAATTTATTCTATGAGGGGTTTTTCCACTTACATTATAGAAAGAAATGTGTTCAGATTTTTGTCTGCACATGTGCAGTGAACTATGCCGATTCATTACCAAAAATAAGCAAGAAATCAGGTCAATATACCTGTGTAGAAAAATTGGTTGTCTAAATGTACATAAAAATTGAGGATGTCAGAAATATTTTTCAGTAGATGTTTACCCTCAGGTTTTTCAAAATTAAAAAGACCCATGAAAATTATAAGGTATGACATTTAAAAGCCATTTTAAGCTCTGAAAACATGTAATACTTATTCACATCTTAAGGCATATATTCACTTTATGTTGAGAAGGAGAAAATGGATATTCAACGTTTCTGAAAAACATTTGATATAGACATGTATAAAATTTTGTTCTGAAGGAACTTTTCTTTCTAACTTAAGAAAGTATTAGGTAAGTCCCTAGTTTTGAATCCATTAACTATTTATTGGTCTAAACACATACCATATTGTATTGATTAGCTGATATGAGGAGAAGCAGAAAAAATATTCTCATTCTGCACATTGAATATTTTCAAATTTACAAATCTACATTGTTTTCTTCTGTTCCCCTTATATATATTTATTTGCTGTGACTTCATATTTGAAACGTTGTGAAAAACTTTCTAACATTCTTCCCATTTCTTTGGACTTTGTCTTGTATTTCAGGTGGGCCAGCCATGAGAGGGTACCTCGTGGCCATATTCCTCAGTGCTGTTTTTCTCTATTATGTACTGCATTGTATATTGTGGGGAACAAATGTTTATGGGTAAGTTTCATTTTTGCTACTTAAACATAATTCCCAAACTAGACTTTCATACAAACTTACTCCTCAAATTATAGTAGAGGGACTAAAGCATTGTAATATTTTGTATCTTTTCTAAGTTTCCACTAAAATTTGGGGTCTAACCATTCCAGTATCCTGTAGATTAGTATATCTAACAATTTGAAAATTTATAAATAACACTACATTTTACTGACTCTCCAGTGAAGCTGTAGTGGTAACAATCTTTGGGACATAATATTTGCATTTATACAAGTTCATCTCCTTGAATTAATGGAGTAATTCTTAGTCTCAGTGGCATTTGACTTTTAGGGCCTAAAATGCTTAGATAAGAGATTGTTGATAAAATGTAAACACTACATTTGGTTTTCTTTGTTTAAAAGTATTTGATGAATGATGATATATGTATTTTTTAAAATAACTTTGACTTGATAATATCAACCCCCAAACTTTGAAGAGGCACAGATAACTTTACTTTAGGAAAAAAATCTCCATAAGTAAGTTTTATCTTTCTCGCCTTTGTCAGTCCTTTGGCTAGGAATAAAGTTTTGATGACCTTTAAATCCTAAATGGAGAGCAACACAAAATCAACTCAAAATACACTCCATGGCAACTTGCTGTCTTAGACAGAGGAGTTTTTTTTTTGTCAATTTTTCAATTCTAGGTCTTAGAGCTTAGATTATGCTTCTAGCTCATGCTTACTAGATAAAAATATTAATGGTTCTAGAACTAATTTCTATAACTAACTAATTGGAAAACAATTACAGTGCTTTTCTTGGAAGGAAGTTAGGCAAATGGCTACTGAAAAAAACAAAAACAATAACAATGCCCCTGGGCTAGAGAGCTCTGAGGTCTATTATCCATTCCATGATGATTACCCAACAGTGGTCTCTCCCTCCATCTCTGTCATCCTTTCTATCCCACTCTTAGTAGTGAAAGACAAAAACCAGAGAAAACAAAAGCCTATTAAATTGTTACTTTCCTCTAGATCCTATTATTTGTCACAGGGGAAAGGACAAAATAATAAAAAGGGTCAAATACAACACAGTCTTTTGTCATCTAACTTGAGGCGTTTCCAAACTAAGCAAACACATTCTTACAATCATAGAAAGTACCCAGGGGAGTTATCTCAAAAGTGTGTGTGTGCACCATGAACTTGATTCCTTCAAAAAATATTTAAGATGGTAATTGTTTTTGCTTTAATATACACCCAAAGTTTGTCTTTGCAATATCCTAAAGTAGTTTGTTTTCGGTTTTAATGACCTTTGAAGTCTAATAATATATATCCCATTTTCCTCTAAATATAAGTCAGGGTTTGTGGCCTGATGTGCTTTTATACCATATTTATGTTTGTATATTTCTTATTTGTTAATCAAAGGGTCCTTGCCATTTGTGGTAGTCAACAAAAGATGTTTCCCTGCATAAGGACTTTATGAGCTTTTTAGTTCAGAAACCTATTTCAATATTTTAAATGTAAAAATCTTCTAAATGGAGATTTTGTATTTAAATATAGAAAATTATGTTTATCCATAAATGGGTGAGTCTGCTTCTTTCAGTTTGAATCCTGTTGATTATAGAAGAAAATCGATTATTTTTATAGCCTTTCTTCACATCGTTGATAATTGTCACTTAGGTTTTTATATTAAGCTATTTTATTCTTTCCCAGCTAGTCTGGATCCTGCTACCCTCCACCCCTTTGGTTCATTTTCATTGTTGTTCTCTGTCATGTTTCACAATGCCCTTTTAAATTTTGGAGACAAGTACTCTATTCAGGAGTCACACAAGGGCCTAACCTGTGCCAAGAATAGAGAAGCATTAGATAAGATTCCAAATGCTGTGATTTATGGAGTCCCTAGGATCATGAGGCAAAAAGCCTATTGAAACTGCTCAGGTCAGGTGTTTTTGTGATGTTCCCTGTTGGTAGGCAGCCCTAGATATGGCACGGTAGATGATAATCATGTGTCCTTGGAGTGAGTTGGGTTTCTCTGGTTCTTGAAAGAGTCTAAAAATGGAGCATGGTTTTGGCTTCTACCACCGTAACCCTATCCCTTCTCTGAGAGTCCTTTGACTCACTGCTCTTTGAACCACTTCTTGGGTAGCTAGTCACCTTGGCCTTTTCCACACTCCCTTGCCTTATACTTGAAGATCCTCAAGTGTGTATGGGACTCGGAGAGGGTCAGACATCAGGGCTGCAGGGTGGATTTTGACTCCCTGCCCAACAGCCTGTCAGTGGTGGAAACGAGCAGGCTCCCGGGCATTTTGGGTTCCTTTTGGGCATGCTTCCAGGTCTTGCTTTCTGACAGACACTATTTTTTGTCTTCTAGGGTACCACCTATAGAAATGAAGCACCGCAATAAGATCCAGCCTTGTTTATCAAAGCCAGCTTTTGCATCTCTCTTGAGGTAAAAATAAATAGACAAAATAAAGTGTTTTTTAAAAAAAAAAACCTGTGGCATACAAAATGTTTGTGTTTGCAATTGTTTTCAACACTGGTTTACAATTTTTTTTCATACAAATCTTAACAGTGTAAGGTGGGCATACCATAGTTAAGGAAGAGCTTGAATATCCTGTCTCTTTTCTGTGCTTTTAGTCAGAGCTCTGCACATATTTTAAGAAAAGGCACCAAAGAACTCAATCAGACCAGTATTCTTTCCACACAACTAAGATTAGAGAGGTATTATTTAGGTTTGTTCATAAAAATGATAAGTTTTCTTTAGGTTGTATTTTCCCCACCTTGTTCCCAAGCTATTTTCACTCTTATTATTTTGTGGTTTCTTCTCCTTTGCCTCTAAGTCAATCTTTATGATTAGAAATTTTGGTCGTTGTTCTGTGAAACTCCCTTGGCTGGGAATCTGTGTTTTTCTCATTTCCTCCTGTTTGAACATGGTGTGGACTAAAGCAGACAGTGTCCCAGGCACCTACAGATAAGTGGTAGCTTCTCAAGCTCCAAGAAATGTCCTTGGTTCCTTCACCTCTGCCACTAATTCTACATTGCTTTTATCAAGGAAAGCTGAAAATGCAGGAAGGAATCTAGTTTGTATATGTCCAACTCCCCAGTGGCAAAAAGGAAATGGAAAATTCTTCAGGCTGCCCCTAAAGATTCTGAAAAGGAGAATCAGATTACTGAAGAGGTAGGCAGCAGTGGTTTAGGAAAAGCAAAGAAGACAGTATGACCTTTGCAACTTCACCACAGAGATGATGAAAAAGAATAGGACTTAGTCATTGTCTTTGAATGATGTCTCCTGTTTACTCTGGTTTTCTAATGGGTAAATTTGCATATATATGTTTGTTCAATAAGCTTTGTTGAATAGGCATTTAATTTTAAAAGTGAGGCTAAAGTTTATTCAAAAACAAGTTATGAAATTGGAGAATTTGTAAAAATTACAGTTGCTTAGGTTAATATTCAATTTAATACAGTATATTGGTTCTTTTACCTATTATAAAGCTTCTTGTTCTTGCTAATATTAAATCAATGCATAATGTTCTATTTACTAATGTCCTGTGTTTGAGATTTGTTTAAGTCTGTATACTGATGCCATTTATATTGACATCTGGGCATTGAAATGATGCTATGCTTTTATTTCCTATATTTTCTTTGAAAACCAGAGTTAGAGCTTTCTTTGCACATAAAAAAAATCATATTAATTAAACTTAATTTCTGTAATTTTTCAGAGAGGGATCCAAAGATATTACCTTGCAAAATTTTGGATGGATATGGAAAAAGTCAAGGACAATTTAGCCTTGAGAGTTTAAACAATTGATAATCAAAGTTTCTAAAGCAACAAAAAGACAAAATACTAAATATTTTGAATCAGGAAATAAGATTCCATAAATCACATTAATAGGGAGAAATTTTTCTTGGCTATGTATTTGATTTAATATCATAATATATTACCCTTGGCACCTATACTTTTAAAGTTGGAAATCAATAAAGCATGACAGGCCAATCATGCCATAAGCGCAGAGCTGTGGAAAGTCCTTAGCATTTTCACTATACTTCTCACTTAACCAGTTGAAGAAGTTGAAACTGATGTTCTTGTTTTCCTAGCACTTTTTGATTACTGACAAACTATCAGTTTTCAAAATTAACTATGTTTTAACAGGCATGTGTTTCTGAAATTTGAAATAAGAGTACTTATTTTCACAAAAAAATTTTTTTCCCCAACTTTTACTCACTTTTAGTAAATGGCATAGAATGCAAATAATAATTAATCTATATGCAATGTAAATAGTGACTTTTTGCTGTAGTTGTCAGGATTTTCAAAGTGTTTTTTTTTTTTAATCCACACATGTACTTCTGTGTATCTTGACTTTGATAGATTGCTGGTCAAAAGCCTTCTAGATAATAAAAAATAAGAGACATAAATAATCACGTTTAATTGTATAAAATGGATATAAACTCTTCAGCATTTTTTTCATTAAGCTTGGGATCAGAATTCAGAATTTCTTTTACTATATTATGTGACTTTGTCTTCCCATTACTGGTTCTTAACCATTGGGGCCACAGACCCTTAGAAATCAGTCAGCTCTGAAAAAATTGAAGATACATACAGATTTTTTGTACATGATTAGATTTGATGGCTGTGTGTAGTCTTTCCATGGGTGTATGTCCAGGTAGGGCCACTACAAAACTAGAAGAGTGTGTTTATGCTTTTTTGACTATGACTCATAATAAAGACATTTAACTTGAACACAGTACATATAAGTATTTATAATAAGAAAAAAACCCAATATTTTACCTTTACTATCCAAGATATACTGTGTTCTGTTCTCTTCATATTTTTTGAAATATGCTGATCATTACTCCAAAAATTGATTTCATAAGCCACATGTAAGTGGTAGATAATAAGTCAATATGCTACTCTAGAATTAAGGTACTCTATAACTTTAATTAAAAAATGGATATTTACATCTTCAGAAAATCCCAAAAGGTTAAATAAAGTGTGTATACAAGTACATATGTTCAGCAGGTCTGTAAGTCTGTCATCTAAGGGACAAGTAGATTTGTACTTGTCAGGTGAGCATTACTCTCTGAGCATAGTTCCCTAGAGCTTGCCATATTCTCAGAAAGAGAGGAATTATTATTATCAATCAGGAAGTTGCACATAAAAACCTGGAGTATTATAATGTGAACACCTTTCTTCAGAATTCAGTTTGCACATGGATTTTAGTTTTGTCATGAGAACGTTAGTGACTCCAGATGAGTTACATCACTTTTCATATCACACATTTCACTTTAGTTTCTTCACCTACATTGACTAATGCACTTTACTTGCCCTGCCAGGCTTTTTACCAATAACAATCATGGAAATATAATATATATTCTAATATAATATTATATACTGTAGTATATATTTATATGTACAATATATATACAGTGTATCATATGTTACAGTGTATATACATTCTAATATATACAATGTGACAATTACAATAAGTAGTCATTACTCTGTACATAGATTAATAATTATTTGCATTCTATGTAATTCACTAAAAGTCAGTAAAAGGGAAAATTTCTAATCAATGTGATATCATACAATGTAACATGTAACAGTATTTTGTGATATGATGCACTGCAGTATATGCAATGTAATATAATTATTACAGGTAAAGCTAATACTTATTGAGGCCCTGATATGTCTGAAATATGATATCAAACAATTATTTCACTTAGAAATATATAAAAGTCATCTAGTACAAGGTCCAAATGGAAATAGACATTAGTCATTAGTTAGCATCAGTGTTCCTATTGCTAACTCCAAGCAAGTCTTTTATTGGTGCAGTTAACTAGGGTTCAATTTTCCAAGGAAGACTGGGAAGCTCAGGAGCCTTCTCTCAAGGTCAAATCAGGTGACCTGATATTTCCTCTTCCCATGGCAGATCCTAGGCTTAACATTAACACTGATATAGAAATGACATTTGCAGGTTGACTGGCTCTTGAGACTGCTATCATTATCACAGCTGAATCTGGGACATCATAGCTGGAGCAGAGAGGGCTGGTCTCACCTACTTTCCTTCTCCTGAATGCAGTGTCATTTCGTAATTCAGCTCTGAAAACATTAAGCTCTTTTGACTTGCTCAAGTTTTATGACTCCTGAGTGACAAAGCCAGGATAAAATTGAGGCTCTCTCACTCTTCCTGAGTCTTACTTTTTGTCATGCAGCCCTCTGAAGCCCCTGTATCACTCTGATCTCCACTTGCAATTTTTAGACTAAGCACAAAACTCATGATGTGGCAGGAAAGATGGTGGCAGGTGTGGGACTGTGGTTAGGATTAGCTATATTTGTCCTGCAGCATGTAGGTACCAGCCAGTCCTTCTGCTGGGTGAAAACAGCATTTTAATATGAACTTTAAGATCCTTTCAAAATCTCACTTTTTTCTGATTCATAAAAATCCCAAAAGATTGATTTGGAGGGCTGGGAAAGTACTTCAGTGGTAGAGCTTGCCTGGCATGCACAAAGCCCTTGGTCCAATCCCCAGCACAGGGGAAAAAAATGAAATTTACTTAATCACTTTGTTAAATATGCTAAACTTTGTGTTAGGCACTAAAAATAAGAAAAACAGAGGCTATTCCTTATGCTGATCAAGCTTTCTTGTCCAGAGGGTTGGGGGTTGCCTTCAGTGCAAAGCAGGCAGTAAGAAGATAAATGCCCACATTCTTGTTCTTGGGTAAATCTTAATTTAATAATATTAGGGAAGAGATACATTCTAGCTCCATCTACTTTTTAATATGTTTTTACAGCCGAGACAACAACATACAAATGGTCCTTTTAACATTTAGGAATGACTTAATATCAGTACCTTTATTACTTCCCTTTGTTTCTTCCTGGCTATTCTTTAATTGCTTGGTGCTGTTTTAAAATTTTGTTTTCACCTCCACTGTAACAAAATTTTGTTCTCAGTACTTGGAAAGTGTTTCTATTCCAGTGTGTAGTTCCACTGCATATTCCATTCTATGTAATATCTAATACTGTCTTACATAAAAGATTTTAAAAATACAACTTCAGTTACAAGCTATAGTTATTTTCAGTACTTGTCTGAAAAGCCTGCCAATATAGAATGCTCTTTCATAATCAGTTTTTTTTTTCCTTTCTTCCAGGTTTCCTCAGATTCACCCCTTTTTGTGTGTGTCTGATTTTAGGAATACTGCTATAGTCACTGGTAGTGATCAGTTTTATTTGCCCTATGGGACAAAAAGATCAGGTCAGTAGCAGTATTCTGAACCTTTCCTGTTAAGTTTGAGTCCTCTATGGTGAGAACCACATGTTTATATAATTCCAAGGCCTTTTAATCTTTCTGACTCCTAATGATTCCTAAGGGATACAGCTGGGGGGATGGGATGAAGGGATTTATATTTTAAAACAGAAATATCCCCCTTAAAGTTAAGTAATTAAGATGGTAGATTTTTGTTGTTGAGATTCTGTGTTTTACTTTTGTTCTGCCACAGGGTGACTCCTATGAGTTCTATACCTTACTTTATTCCAATTTAGAATTACAGGAGGGGCTGAGGATATAACTAAGTGGTAGAGTGCTTGTCAACATGTGTGAGTCCCTGGATTCAATCCCCAGTACCCACCTTCCCATAAAAAGAATTAACGGGATAACCCTGGATGTTAACTTCTTTCCTGTCTCCCCATTTCACCTCTTTTACCTGATTTGTTTTGTTTATTTCATCAGAGAGTTTTAGCTTCTTGATCAGCTTTTTAATTTAACCAGTGGGCATTTCACTTTTGCTAAATTTAGAGGGAATTATTTCATCTCCTAATGACAAAGCACTTTTGCTTCTGCTCATTGAGAACTGATTGGCCATAAAGCTTTAAGTTCTAGATTTTTGGGGAGACCTTAAATACCCAAGAAGTGGGGCTGGGGTTGTGGCTCAGTAGAGCATTTGCCTAGCAAGTGTGAGGGTTGATTCTCAGCACCACATATAAATAAATGAATAAAATAAGGTCCATCAACATCTAATATTTATACACACACACACACACACACACACAAAACCGAAGAGTTCACAGGCCTATGCTTTTGTGAGTCAGATTTTATTTTTTTTGACTGATTCTGCTTATTTTTGTTTGTTTGATTGTTTTGTTTATTTGTATTTTAAAAATATTTTGCAGAGAATTTGAGAATTGGTTTAAACTTACTCTTGGTTTTAATTTTAATGTCAGTTTCAGAATCATCAGATACTGTTAAATTTTTAATTACTTTTTATGATTGCTTTCAGGTTAAGCATCTTATTTCTTTCTGGGGTTTTGGTGAAATACATTTAGAGCATTACCATTTTGAATGTGCTTATGAAGTAGTGTCAGGGTAATTGTAGTTGTATCATTAATTTTTCACACATTAAACCAGATGTGGCCTTACCAGTTGGAAATAGGTTTGGGGGGTAGTGAACAAGGTGGCTTATTAGTTACCTGAGAAGTCATGATTATCTTCTTACTCATAACATTCCATTTCTTTTCTAGAGGCATATTTTAAACTTGCTCTTTCAAAACTGCAGAGTTGTGATCTCTTCGATGAGTTTGACAAGTGAGTTTATTTCCTTGCTTCTCTTTGACTTTTAGCTAAGATGGTTCAAAAGATGTACCCAGAGATGTATGTATTTACTCAGGAAAATTCCATAGCACCTGTGTATAATTAAAGCCTTCTTTTTTACTTTTTCTCCACTACCTCAACAACATGTGCTACTTTTTTTTTTTCCTTTTCCTGTTTTTGATAATAGCCAACTGATAATATTCTGACTGGGTGGAAAGGAATATCTAGTTCTGATTTGTAATTCCTTAATGGCTAATGATGCTGAACAGTGTTTCAGCATTTATTGGCCATTTGTACTTCATTTGAAAAGTATTTATTCAGCTCATTTGTCCATTTATCAATTGGATCGCTTGTCTTTTTGCCTTAATTTTTTGAGTTCTTTGTATATCCTAGATATTAATCCTCTGTCAGGTAGTAACTGACAAGTAGTTTGTATTTTTGTTCTTATTACACTTGAAATAAATGAACTACAAACTCAATTTAGAAATACATAACTGAATTTGCAAGTTTTAATGATGAGCAGTGCACATACTAAGCCAGGACATTTTTAACCCATGGTCACCTTTTCTAAGGTGTTTCTACTTAAGAATTAATGCATACCGTTCATGGGTTGTTTCCCATACCTTCCCATGTGTCATCCTAACCTCTTTTGTTTCTCTTGTTAAAAAGATTGACTATTGGATATTGGAAGCTGTTCTCTTCCTCGCCCCCTTCCAGAAATATATTTGAAGGAAGCAGACAGCTTGCTTAGATATATGTTTTTTTGACTACAGAGGTTTTAGTTTTTAGAAAATTCTGTTACTAAGATAACCCTGTACAAATTGAATTTCCAAAGATAGATTTGTTGGCAGGTGGGCCCATTTCATAAGGTTTAAGCCACATTTTAGAATTTGGCTGGTGGGCTAACATGAAAATGTGGGTGGTTTAAAAATGTCAGGTGTCTATTAAACATGGGACAATGACAGAATTTCCCTTCTTGCCCAAGAGAATGGATTTGCTGAATGTGCTATTTGGTGGGTGCAGAAGACAGCTCTAGTGGGCCAGGGAGTGAAAGTGAGATAGAGTTTACACAATGGAGCTGCAGGAGCAGTGTTAGATTTTGTTAAGGTCTGTCTTTTTTTTTTTTTTTCTCTTGGGGACCCAGATTATTGAAGTGTATATTATGTAATATAATTGATTGATTTTTTTGTTGTTTTTAATTATTTTTATTATAATTAATAACCAATTAGTTGTATAAATTAATGGGTTTTGCTGTGTTTTTTCCATAGTGCAAAATATTGAACTTTGATCTTGTCTGTACTCCTTACCTCCTCATTCCTACCACCCTTCTCCCTGCTCCTGACCCATCCCCCAATCCCTAATAGGCCCTTTCTATGTTCAAGCCATCATTTTTGTTTATTCTGTTTCTCTATAAGTTTCCACATATGAGAGAAAACATATGATACTTGTTTTTCTTTGTCTGGCTTATTTCACTTAACATGAAGTCTTTCAGTTCTATGCTCCTGCAATGAAAGGATTTCATTATTCTTTATGGCTAAAATTGTGTATATATATCTATATATTCCATTGTGTATATATATATATATCTTTTTTTTAATGCAGTCATCTTTTGATAGCTGATTCTATATCTCGGCTACAATTAGCACAAGAATGCAGGTATCTCTTTTCTGTGCTGACATCATTTCCTTTGGGGAGATATATACACACACACACACACACACACACACACACACCCAGGAATGGGATAGCTGGATCATATGGGTTTCTATTTTTAGTTTTTTAAAGGAACCTTCATACTGTTTTCCATAGTGGTCATATTAATTTATATTCCCACCAAGAGTGTGCAAGGTTTCCTTTTATTCCACAACCTCACCAAAATTTGTTACTTTTTCTTTTTTTTGTTTTTGGTAATAGCCATTATGATTGGGGGCAAGATAGAATCTCAATGTAGTTTTGACTTACGTTTCCTTGATGGTTAAAGATTTTTCATATAGTGGTTTGTACTCACTCTTTTGTGAGGTGTCTTTTAAGATCATGTGCACATTTATTAGTTGGATTACTTGTTTTTGTTAAGTTTTTTGAGTCTCTTTTTTATCCTGGATATTAGTGCTCTGATGAGTAGCAGGCAAAGATTTTTCTCCCATTCTGCAGGCTGTCTCTTCACTCTGCTGATTGTTTCCTTTGCTGTGCAGCTTTTTAATTTGATGTAATCCCATTTTTTAACTGTTGCCTTTGTTTTGGACGGTTGGAGACTTACCTAGGAAATCATTGCTTGTACCAAGACCTTGAAGTGTTTCCCGTGTTTTCTTTTAGTAGTTTCAAAGTTTTAGCTTATATTTAAGGTCTTTGATGCATTCTGAATTAATTTTTGTTCACGGTGAGAGACTGTGCTCCAGTTTCAGTCTTTTACATGTGAACATCCAGTTCTCCCAGCACCACTTGTTGAAGTGCTGCTCTCTTCCCACTGTGTGTCTGTGGCCCCTTCATTGAGAATCACTTGGCTGAAGATTCTGGGTTCTCTCTTCTCTTTCTGTTGTCTGCTTTTATACCAATACCATGCTGTTTTGTAACAGTGGCTCTGTAGTATGTTTTGAAATCTGCTATCGTGATGCCTCCAGCATTGTTCTTTTTTCTCAGGATTGCTTTGGTTATATGGAGTCTTTTGTTTCCATATGAATTTTAGACTTTGTTCTAGTTCTGTGAAAAATGTCATTGAGGATCGAATTGAATCTGTAGACTGCTTTGGGTAGAATGTCCATTTCGACAATATTGATTCTCCTAATTGGTGATCCTGAAAGGTTTTTCCCTCTTCTAATGTATTCAATTTCTTTCTTCAGTGTTTTATAATTTTCATTGTAGAAGTCTTTTATTTCCTTAATTATATTTATTCCTACATATCTTATTTTATGTGGCTATTATGAATGTACTCACTTTCCTGATTCATTTCTCAGTGAATTGGTATATACAAAAGCTACTGACTTTTATTGGTGTATAAAAAAGCGACCGACTTTTGTATGTTGATTTTTGTATCTTGTTACTTTGCTGAATTGGTTTATCAGTTCTAAAAGTATTTGATGGAGTCCTCCTGATTTTTCTATGTATAGAATCATGATCTGTAAACAAAGATAGCTGGACTTCCTCCTTTCCTCTGTGTTTGCCTTTTCTTTCTTTCTCTTGCCTGAGTGCTCTGGATAGATTTCTTTACTATATTGAATAAGAGTGGTGAGAGTAATATTAGGGGAATTGCTCTCAGTTTTTTCCCATTCAGTTTGATTTTGGCTATCAATCTAATTTCTTATTTAAAACTGTGCTATTCATTTCATTTCAATTTTGGTTGCATATCAACAGAAACCATTTACATATATTTCTACCTAATATTTTATATAGCTCTCATTTATAGATCTTTGTTTTGTACAGACCTTTGGCATATGTGCGTTGGCTCAATTCTCTAGTTTCACAAACAGAGAAACCAAGGCAAGGCAAACATGCACAGTTTGTTATAGCTGGTAAGTGTCAAAGCTAGAATGTGAACCTAGATGACTCTAACTCCAGTGCCTGAATTAGTTAAGAGTGATAATGGCTATTCCTTAAATATTTTCAGCAAGTTGTCTGCAAGTATTTTTAGTCTTTGGTTCTGTAAATGTAAACTCCTGTTAGATTATTGAGGGTGCATGACTGGTAGTTCTATTTTTGCCTTGTTTTATCATAGAACTAAACTATGCTTTGTTTAGCTGTTTTCTCCCACAGGCGTTCAGCCACTTGTGTGCGCCTCGGCCAGACTATTTCCTTCCTTCTTGCTGACTTGGTCTTCTATTCCCTACCCTTTCTCCTCTTTGTCACTGGGAGTGCCTCCACTCTCCACCACCAGCCTGTGCCCATTTCTTCTGCTCAAGTAATTTCCCTATATTTTATATTCCCTCCATCCTCTAGAATGATTCAACATTTCTGTGGTTATTTCAAGTATGAGTCCTTTAAGATTCTACCAGGTACAAGTGCTAGTTTTGTTCAGAATCTCAAACAGAATGCATGATGTTCTTAGTTGGGATAGATTCTGTGAATGGGAAAACTTGAAATATAGTTCTCATAGTTTTCACATACATGAAGTCTACAAAATGTTGCAGGGCTAACTCAACAGTTTTGTGATCATCAGGGCTAAGGCTTCTTCTCTGGTCTGTGGCTTCTCCTAGGGTCTAATATAATAGCTGGAGTTCTGCCAATCACATCTGCATTTCTGCCAGCAGGGAGGAGGAAGGGAAGAGGGGCATGACCCCACCCTTTAAACTTGCCTCCCTCTTTAACGACATATCATAGAAATCACATTTTAACACTTAATTGCATCTTCCTATTTCCATATTCATGATACCAAAGTGATAGCTTGAAATCAGCCATGGTGGGAGTATTTACACCATGAGGCTTGGCAAATGCTACAAACCAGAGCTTCCCCCTTTGCCCCCCTGCCCCTAGAATTGGTTGCTAAATATTTACTAGCAACCACTAATGATATCCCATTGGGTGGGAGTCAGGCACAAGCCAACACCTAGCTGGAAGGTAGACTGGAAAATATTGCTTGTATTCCAGGTAACTGTGTACCCACCTTTAAATTTTTAAGGAACAGGGAAACCTGATTAATGACAGACAATTAACTATTTTTATCAGTATGTTCCATCATTTCCATGGTTCCCGTTTGTTTCTGTGCCACTCTGAGGATTCTGAAGTCAATTAATAACTCTGCTCTGTAATAACTAAGCTCACTTGCTGCTACTGATGGTGATGATTTTTCATAGATTCAGGTTCCTCTTACCCAAAGTACATATAACATGAGACTACTATGTTTACTACTATAGATGGAGACTATTTTAAAGAAATTATAGTACAGAAGAGGAATAATTAAAGTATGCCAATATTCCAAAGCCATGAGCCTTCCTTGTTATCCATGTTGCTCCCTGGCACCAGCCTGCACCCTGGTCCCAGGGGGAGTATATCCTCCCCCAGTTAGAAGCAACAGAAACATTAGCTTAAAAATCTCAGCTCCCACAAAAATGTTCAAGTTATATCCTCACCCTCATCCACCAGCATTGCATTCTGAAAGTGTACCAGATTTTAAGAAGACTTCTTTAGTTCTGCAGCATAGATGATTATACAATAATTACCCATAAATATCTTACCTACCTGTGTCAAGCACCTATGTCAAGTCTGTTGCCTGCTAAATGGATGATAATTTGTAAAAGCTACCTGGTTGCTCACTCAAGAAGAATCTATTATGTCAGCCTCAGCCAAACAGGGTAAGATTGGTTACCATTCAAGGCAGGAGCATGCTCTTAGAAGACTTTTTTTTTTTAAAAATTAGACATCAGCAATGTATTTGTTAATGAGAGTCTTAATGCTTTAAGGACTCCCAATGTCTGAATCTTTAATGTTCTGCTGTTTTGCAAGGTTTCTTTATTCCACAGCCTTTTGGCCAGAGACAGAACTTGAGGGTAAGAAGAAATTGTGACATCCCCAGAGTGAGTCATGCATGGTGAAGGTGCTAGTTCAGCCATTATTTGTTTTCTAACATAGCTGTGGTCAGTTGTTACATAAAGATATAGAAACTGTGGTACACATAATCAGAGGAAAATGATGACATCCAAAGTATTAACAACATTCATGACACTTACTTCTCTAAAAGGAAAATTGAGATCACAGAGGTCAGATCACTAGGTAAAGTTCCCCGAAGTACTAAGTGGGGGAGCCAGAATGAGGAGCTAGACCTCCAGCTCTAGTTCCCTGAAAAACATTTTAGGTTCTTCAGGATGCAAATAATAGTTTCCTAACCAAAACTCATTTGAACATTTATTATTGTATTGCATAAATATGTGGTTTCAGATTTGCAGATTTATGGTCCCAGTTTTCAGGGTGCCCTATTTCTACCTGGGGGCAGCCAGTTCACACACACACAGTTATCTGAATGATGCTTCCTAGATTTGGACTGCCTGCTGCCTGGACATAGAATGACTGTGGTAGTGAGATTGAATTAGCGGCTCTGTGATGTTAGGGCTCTAGGGTAGCATTCCTGGGGCTCTTCTTTCCTTGCAAGGTGGCTATAGCTACTGTAACTGTATGTCACCACTTGTGAAAAGTCTAGGCAGAAAGGAAGGGGCAGGTGAAAACAAAGTGTTCTGCTCAGACTTTTTTTTTTTTTTTTTAATGCTGGGGCAAAATCTCTTTGGAAATCATTTAACAGACTTTCCTAGTCTCTTATTGCCCAGGGATGAGTCATATGGCTATCTCTAGGCCAGCTATTTACAGAGGAAATGAGCTCACCAAGGTAGACTTCTGAATGCACAGCTCTGCTATCTGGCACACAGGATGAAGTTCATTTGAAACATGACTAACAGCATCCGCCATCCAGTGTTAACACTGAAGTTGGAGTGATGTGCTTTAATACATATTATGCTGCCAAAGGGAAAGCATTCAGAAAAGAAGACATATCATGAATGATTTGACATAGGCAACTCAAATTTCTTTCCTCTATATTGTCCTCTGCCTAGCTTCCCTCTGCTGGCTTTGCCTGACTGTATGGGAAACATGCCTTTCACCTGAGGGAAGTGTAATATTTTACCACTGCTGTTCATCAGCTTTTTGGATTTTCCATTAACAGGTAACAGGCACTCTGGAATTATTTTGTTTTCTGGGTGAGCAGCTCGAGGCATGTGCATTTCCCAAACGGTTCTCAAGTTGAAGTAACAGGTACCTGCTTTATTTTAGACATGAATGAGAAAAATGACCTCCACACACTCATGTAGCAATCAACTGAAGCATGTGAATTCACTGAAAAGGTTTCCTTTCAAAGGCATTGACCAGTTTTTCTTAGTGTAAGGGTCCTTCCTCTCTTCTACCTGTCCCCTTTGATGTTGACAGAGAAGAAAGCAGAAAGTGAAATTCCTAAAAATGTGGCAACATTAAAGTGTGAAGAGTCTTTGGATTGGAAGTTTCCTGAAGTGAGAGAGTGTCTGCGTGATTTCATTTTTCATAAGTCCTTGAATCTGCTGAGACCATAAGCAGGAGGAGGTTGAGAGGCTGAGCACAAGGAATGAGGCCCTTTAGGTAGCTAGTCCTGGAAGATCCTGGGAAAGAGATCTGCTTTCAGTCCTAGACTCCCCTTTTACTCTTGGCTAGAGGCAAATCAGTAGGGTCTATGGGAGGAGGTCCAGGACCTGGAGCTTGAGGGAGACCAGTGATGTGGCATATGTAGTACAACAGATGGTATGTAATATGACAGATGCCCCTTGGTTAAGCCTGAGATTATGATGCCAAACATTACCTAGGACTTAATGACCAACTGCAATCTAGTCTGATAGAGGGGAAACTTCTGTAAATATTAAGATTCAACCCATCAGTTCATTGCTAAGTGACAAAATGGAACTGGCCATGTCTGAGATTGAGACAAGTTATTTCTGGGGTCAACTTTAGAGATAAGATTTGTGGGTCATAAGTCCTTTGTTGGAGTCCCCTGGGAGTATGCTGGTGGCCTTGACCCTGTGTATTTGGTGTAGATGGTGGCAGGCAGCTTCTTGGCAGATTGGGGACTGTAAGCCAGGATGGGTGCTGGAGTCCCTGGGGTGCCTGGGCTCAGGACAAGGCAACCCTTCCCTTGTCAAGGGAGTGGCCTCTGACCCTCATTGGAAGGAGAGGTTTAGAATGGGTACCATAATTATAGATATTTTTCTGCTATCTCTGTGAGGTTAGTTATCTCCCTGGGAAGACCTGTTGTTTCTTGTTTGTTTTCAGCTGTCCCCTTCCCAGTGGGGAGATAGAGCCAGCCTCAGGAGGTTCAGCCTCTTATTTCCATTAAACTGACCCTGATGTTAGGAAAGGCCAAGCAAACTGTGAGCATGGGAATTTCCCCTGTCATAAAGCATTCACGGGATGGACCTGGTGAGGATAATGGCAATGAGAGAGAGAGGACAGTTCTCAATACTCAACAATGTTCCCCTTTCAGTCATGGCCCTAAGTAGTGAGCCTTTGATAAACTTGGCTTCCAGGGATTGGGAACTAAAGTCACACTTGCTGATAAAGCATCTAGAGATAGGTTAGTTCCTTAGTTAAGAAGAGATGTAAACAAACACACCTCTAGAACACTCTGTGACAGGTGACATGTCCATGATGTGTGGTTTTGGACATTGTATGTCTTTCAGATGGTCTCCCACCCCAAAGCCCTGCTATAAAACTGGTGCTTCTTGTCCTTGTCCGAGACACTGCTTTAGACATGACTCATTAATATTTGAGAGCTGAGGACTCCCATTAAAATGTGCTGAGTGTTTTTAAAATGTAAGCATTAAAATTTATAAAATAATTAGATGAGGGATACAAATTCTATGTAAGAAAGGTAGCTTGTGAATGTAGGGGATGAGTACAGTCTCTTCTTAACTTGCCCAGTGCCAGGCTCTTTTTTTAAATAGTTCCTGCATTTTCTTTTTAAATAATCTACAGCATTTGTTCAATTTTGCCGCTCATTAATTTCCTAAACACTTTAAGGTCATGAGTTCAACTGATCTGGCTGGTTTCATGGTTCTCAGAGAAACACATTTTCTAAATTTAGACTTCCCATATCATGAGGTCCCTGGGAGGACAGTTTCAAAAGCCTTCCCTTCTGTAGTTTTGCTCCCTAGAGGAGGATTTTATTTGTTCATTTGTCTAGTTGGCTAGTGGTAAGGCCTAGTTGGCTGGTGGTAAGTGCTAGGAGGCAGATGGGCCAAGGCCATGTGTTCTGAGAGCCAATAGGATACAATCTGTGATTCTCGGCTGATGCTAGCCAGCAGTAGGAAGTCCCCCTTTGTGGCCTAGTTTAAAGCTCTTTGCCAGGAACATAGAGTGCACTTGTAGTTTGTTTTGGTTAAGCTCCAAGGACCAGTCCATTTTGGGGAAATTGAAGTAAGAATGGGCAGAGTACAGAGGCTGCCCTTTCCCCACCAGAATCCATCATCTGCTTTGTCACTCGTGAGGTGCAACACAAAACCAGAGATAGAATCTCAAGAGGAATGGGTAACACTGGCAAAACATGTACATAATGTAAAACACACTGGCATCAATAACAACATGCAGAACTCCAAGTGGAGGGGTCTGCTGTCCTCTAATTTTGTATCTAAATGCTAGTACCACCTCTTGGAAGTGTAACTTGGAATTGTTATATATTTTTGAACCTATTTCTCCTTTTATATAATGGGAATATTTGGCTTATGTATCTGAGTGGTTATAAGAATCAGATGAGAAATTGGGCTGCTGAGAGGTATTTGTTGACAATGATCATATACTGTTCCTATAGAATATTATTTCTTGAATCATATATATATGTATGTATGTGTATACATATATAAACGTATCTATATCTATCTGTATATACACATATGTATAAACGTATCTACACCTATAAGTAACAATTGGTTCCTTTTCTACTTGTGAAATTTGGTATAGGGTTCCTAACAGTAGGAAAAGGTTCTTGGAATCACCCCATTCTATAAAAGATCGCTTAATCTCTGACTTGTCTGTTTGCCCAACAGGGTGCCATGTAAAAGGTGTGTGGTGGTGGGCAATGGAGGAGTTTTGAAGAATAAGAGCTTAGGAGAGAAAATCGACTCCTATGATGTAATAATAAGGTAAATATATTGCCAACCTAGAATTGAAGAGAATATGGCTTCCTACTTTAGGCAGCTGTGTTTTAAAAGTTGCTTCAATTTGTTTATGTACTTGATTACACAACTTTCTCACTCAGTTACTTTGGCTAGAGTAAGGCCTAGATTTCTAGATTTTACTGACTTAGCAAATATTTATTAGGTCCTTTTAATATTCCAGGTACAGTTTTAGCTGCAGGGGAGATAGCAGTGGATAAGAATAGTGCTTTTATTCCCGGTGGGGCTTACATTCTGATGTAAGGAAGAAAACAATAATTATATGAGAAAATGTATTAAGTGTCATATATCCAATTAGAAAAAGATCACAGAGAATGGTTGAGTGGTACTTGGGAATGGGTGACCATATTAAGGAGGATCTTGGTGACTATATAGGACCAGCCATATGAAGGTTAAGGAAGAGCAATCCAGACAGAAAGACTGTTTACTTTAGATCCTCAGGATAGGATCCTGTGTTTGAGCAATCAGCAAAGTTTGAGGGCAGCAAGCTCAGGTGTGATCAGAGGCTAAAGAGGTGGCAAGGAGCAGGCTGTGTGGGATTTTGTAAACTAGGATTAAAAGCTTGGATTTTAAGTATACCAGGAAGCTTTTGAAGGTTAAGCAAGAGAGGAATGCATTTGAGTTCTTTAAGTTGCTACATTCAAGTAGGAGATGATGGTTGGGTCAGAATAGAAGTAGGCAAGTGGACAGACCAGAGACATGTTACAGACATGGAGTTAGCAGGTTTATTGCTTTACTAGATATACTTTACTAGATATAAGGACTAATGGGAATAAAACCACTAAGGGTGTTGTCTATTGTTTTCAACTTAAAAGGGTGGCTGGATAGTGATGATCATTTATTGATAGGAGCAGGAATAAGTAGATTTAGAAGAGTAAGATTTTCTGTATTTACATGTTAGATTTGAGATGCTTTTGAGAGACGTAGCGGATAAGTCACACAGAAAGTTAGTTTCAATGGAAGAGGCTTATGAGCTACGTTAAAACTATGGACTTGGTGAAAGTCCCCAGGGGGAGAGTCTGAGGGATAAAAGAGGGCCCAGGACGGGCATGGAGCTTAACACATTGAGGGAAATTGATCAAAGTGAAGGGAGATGGAGAGGGTGTACCAGTGAAGAAAAAAGAAAATGAGAAGGTGATCACAGAAACCAAGAGAACAGTGTTTTTGATGAGAGAGAGAGAGAGAGAGAGAGAGAGAGAGAGAGAGAGAGAGAGAGAGAGAGAGAGAGATATCAACTGCATCCCAATAGTAATGAGAGCTCATGTAAAACAAGGACAGAGAGGAGACCATTAGATGGTCAATCTGTAACTCTTTATTACTTTGACAAAAGTAAGTTTAAAGGCATAAGATGGCAAAAAGCCTGCTTGGAATGGGTTGGAGAGAATGCAGATGGGGAAATAGAGAAATCAGTGTCATCAACTCATTTGAGACATTTTGCTCTGAAGGGGAGTTGAAAAATGAACTGGCAGTTGGAGATGGTTACAGAATCAAGGAAAGACCTGTTGTGTTTTTTTTGTGATGGTAGTATATTGCTGGAGTATATTGTTAAACTAATAGAAATGAGTGGAGAAAGACACTGGTGTGGTAGAGAGAGGGGGAATGGGGTACAGAGTGCAAGCATGGTTAATATTTTATAATGGAAAGAGGAGCCAGGATTGTGGCTAGAGCTACCAACATTCCCTTAGATGTAGTGGCGGAAAAATAAAATGTTTCCGTTTTCTCAATGAAAGTTTGAGGTAAGTTCATCATCTGGTCTAAATGTGTTAGGAGTAGCTAAGAATAGTCTTCTGTGGGGAAGCTAGTGCTTTGGGGTAACGCATCAGGGTGACCAGGCAGTGTTCTGGAGTTTTACTGGCTTCAAGCTGGTTTCTACAGAGCAAGGTCACCATATTTTATTTATTTTCCATTTTCAGAAAGTTTTGGTAATTTACTTACAAAATAATTTTGAAGCATTCACAAATTTCTGTACTTGTAAAACGTCTAAATCTGACCATTTAGAACCACAGCAAGCCCTTGTAGGAAAATAACATGGTGTAAATTTTTGAAAGTCATTTCAAATGTTATGAAGACTGTCTTATATTACACAAAGTCAGAGGCAAAGGGCAAAGCAATATTTATCCTCCTAGGGGACACTGTTTTGGAAACAAAGTATTCTTTTTTTATGCCATGCTTTCATGGTGTGTGCGTAAATAGTGCATGTCTGACCTTGGCTTTGAGCATACACAAACCTAACAGTAGATCTTTTGCTGTTCTTTAGTTCATTCTAGCAACAGACCTTCATTGGTGGTGCTCCAGTACAATGGTGCTCTTGCACTTCAGAGAAGCACGATTTTGATGGGTCTTCAAGCCAGCTTAAATGTGATTCTTCTTATCTGTTAGTTGTTTAGACACACATCCACTTGCCACAACACTGTGGCCATGGGCATATTTAGGTCTTCAGGGCTCTCATGGGTAAATCCAACGGTGTTTCTGTGGTTGTCTCCCAAGGTCTCTTTTAAGTCTAGCATTCTGTGCGCCCATCTCTTTTATTTAGTCTTCAGTTTTCCTGGAGGTAAAATTGAATTATCCTTGGCTCCACAATTAATTTTAAAATACAAATGAACATTTTTTGCCTTTGATCAAACAGCTAGTTCTTGCGAGGAATTATCTCCTTAGCCATTACATGTAAAAGATTGATCAGTGGCTGTGTGGTTTCAGAGCACAAGATAAATGGCTATTTGTCCAATTCTGAAGCCTCTGAGAACTATAATGAAAATGGCTTATTCTCCACCTGTCTATATATCTTGTGTGTCTTGCTACCCACAGAATGAACAATGGTCCTGTTTTAGAACATGAAGAGGAAGTTGGGAGAAGGACAACCTTCCGACTTTTTTATCCAGAATCTGTTTTTTCAGATCAAAGTCACAATGACCCCAATAGTACGGTGATTCTGGCTGCTTTTAAACCACTTGACTTAAAGTGGCTGTTCGAACTGTTGTCAAATGGCAAAATAGTAAGTTGGCAAAATTGATCTGCCTTCAGATTCCTTTAGTGTTTTTCCTTCAAAAGAATAAGACAACTGTATTTTATTTTCTATACCCTTTATTTCAGAACACTAGTGGTTTTTGGAAGAAACCAGCCTTAAATTTGATCTATCAACCTTATCAAATCAGAATATTAGATCCTTTTATTATCAGAACAGCAGCTTTTGAACTACTTCATTTCCCAAAATCATTTCCCAAAAATCAGGTATGTATGTTTGCATGATTTCAAACTGAATATCCAACTTAAGTAGAATAGAGGGTCTGGGACCTTTCAGAAATTGTATGAGAACCATGGCTCAATGAGGTAGTTTTAAGGCCTCTATTTGAAATAGTAAGATTGATACCTGCGGACATTATCTTTGTTTTTCAGGATAAAAGGAAAATAGCCCTAAGATTTTTTTTTTGTTGTTTTTTTGATTTTATCTTCCTGCCCCCTTCTGGGGTTTCCTAGGGTCTGAGTGTTCAGACTTATCCCTTAGAGCCTCATCTTCAGTCTTCTGCAGCAAGGAGAGTGATTGGCTTTAGGACAAGCGTGTGGCTTTTCAGGCTCAAAAGAATTGTATGAAGCATTCATTAGGAAACTTCATATTACTACAATGAAATATACAAAATACGCCGCTTATGAAAAAAATATGGTATATTTTTGGAAGAAAAGAAGTCCAAGATTGTGTGGCTCCTTGTGGCAAGGATGGCACATCACGGTGCACACTGGAGCCTATGATCACATCTCAAGCCAGGAAATATAAAGAGGAAGACACCAGAATCCCACAATCCCTTTTGAGGGTAATGACCTGGGGGCCTCCCACCAGGCCTCACCTCTTAAAGGCCCACTAGTGCCACCATTGTGACAAAGCCTTACATATGGACCTTTGGGGGAAACACATCCAAACCACAGCACATAGTTAAAAATACCACAGGAAAGCTAGAAAAGTGAGAAAGGGCAATAATGTAGTCCAAAAATTAGAGAAAACATTGGTACTAAAATTTTTAAGAAATGAGCAAAAGTTGGAAAATGACATAGAATCAAGAAGTTTGTTTATATACTGAAGGGAGTGATTGAATAGAGGAAAAAAATATTATGTTGAGGGGAGAAAGTGGTTAGGGGTAGAAGCTTAGTTAGGTAGAGATGGGATATACACACTGCCTACCTAGTAAAGGGGTCAGACGTAGCGCCAATAGGGACATCTTATCCATTGTGAAGAGGCGTGAGCCTGCAAGTGTGGGTAAAGATGCAGATAAGATGGTAGATTTGGAGTTGGGTAGATGATGTAGCTCTGTTTGCTTTCATTTTCACAAAGCAATAAGGATTGTCAATTTAAAGTAGGAAGATGGGCTGTTGAATAGAAAGTTATCTGTCATCTTGGAAAGTAGGAATGGGGCTTGACAATTGCAATAGGAATGCAAGATGTACTCAATGTCTGCTTGACTTTGACCATAAGTTTAACATTTGATCAGACAAGTCTATTTTTCTTTTGTTTTATTCTGGTGCTTAGGTGTAGGCATAGGATGACTGGAGAATTGATTTTCACGAGTAAAGAGTGTCACGTGATCATATAGGATGATGGGTATGATGCTGGAGGGCTAAGCCATAGGACATGATGAGGATTGAACTTAATATTTTTGATTAAATGTTCCAAAATCCTTGTTTTATGACTAGGTCAACCCAAAATGTTTTGGAAATAAGGAGCTCATTTGCATTTTATAAAAATTTACATTTCTCTCTTAGAAACCCAAACACCCAACGACAGGAATTATTGCCATCACGTTGGCATTTCACATATGTCACGAAGTTCATCTAGCTGGTTTTAAATATAACTTTTCTGACCTCAACAGTCCTTTGCACTACTATGGAAATGCCACCATGTCTTTGATGACTAAGGTAACATACACATCATTTCCAGTAACATTCTTTGGTATAATCTTTGTTATGGTTGAAAAGCCCGTTAATTTTTCTCACTTTCACTTTACTGATAAGTTTTGAGAGAGTGAGAGCTTGAAGGGGGCTACAAAGCTATTGAAGGCCGAAATTAGGACTCAAGTCCAGAGGTTATTTTACTATAGCAATAATTCCTAAATTGTGGACCTCAGATCCTTGGTAGAATCTCATGGTTATTACCAAGTGCATCAAAACCATGTAGGGACCAAACCTTAGATATTATACCATGTTTGTGCTATTTAAGTATAAATACAACCTTCTGTGTTTGAGATGTACAGATTTACCCCAAAGCAGGGCTATGCTCACAGTAATTATTTTCATGTATTTGTTTCACTTTTTTTCTGGGATACTAGTTATTGAACCCAGGGCTTCTTGCTTGCTATGCAAGCTCTGTACCACTGAGCTGCAGCCCTACCCTTCATGTATTTTTGGTATTGTTAGAGAAGATAGTCTAGAACAAATACTCCCACAAAAGAAATTTCATGGTTAAAAAGGTTGCCTTTTCACTAGATCGTGTTTTTCTTGATTAGAGATCAATAGTGGTGAATTTAATCCTGAGGATTTCAGTTGAATGAGAAGGGTTTTCTTACTTTTTTTTAAATTCTTAGATTAGTGGGATACCACAAGTGATAGGATTAAAATGTTATCTGTACATTGACATATGAAGTGATCTGCTATATATGGATATATCTCATGAAATACATCTCCTTAAGTCATCCCCAAATAATACATAAACTATACTAGTAGTAGTATTCAGGCTGGATTTTATTCCTGTCATCTGTCCCTTCAGCCCTTGGCTCCTGACCATAAACCAAACATTTGAATATTAAACATTTAGGTGCCTAGAACAGACTTTAGGCTCATTTCTCCAATCTCTAATCTTTCCTGTAGCACTTGTGGTACAAGTGTCATATAAATAACAATGTTAAAACTGAGAAAAATTAGAATATGAATAGAATCATTTAAAATTTTTGTGGTGCTGGGACTTGAGCCCAGAGCCTTGAACATAACTAGACAAATGCTCTATCACTGAGCTACAACCCCCAGATTCAGAATTATTTTTAAAAAACATCTTAAACTGAACCATTCTTTATAGGAGGTTCTTATGTCCAGGACAGTTTTTTTTTTTTTTTTTTTATGAGTTCCAAGGGTCTGGGGTTGTGGCTCAGTGACAGAGCACTTGCCTCTCACATGTGAGGCACTGGGTTCGATCCACAGCACCACATAAAAATGAATAAACAAATTAAAGATATTGTGAAAAATAAATAAGTTCTAATTTGGTGCTTTTATTTAAAAAAAAAAAGCCATCTGACTTGAAATTTTGGTTCCTAGATTTGTATCACAGGATACCACAGAGTCTGGAGGCCTCTACTCAAGTGATAGTTCAAGTGGAGAGAGTGGGCTTTAGGGAATGCTCTTACACACAAGAACGAACAAGGAAAAAAATGTAGGAAGGTAACAGAAGTCCATGTGACTTGTTACTTAGCACTCGAGCTTTGTATATAGAATTTTTAGGATCCAGAATATTCAACTGCTGTGTTAATATTTTGAGATTGGGACATATAGTAATTTTATATTGTTTTTCTTCTTCAGAATGCATATCACAATGTGACTGCAGAACAGCTCTTTTTGAAAGACATTATAGAAAAAAACTTTGTAATCAACTTGACTCAAGATTGACTCTCCAGTTTCCGAAGATGATGCTAACAGTATTTTATTTTTATACTGCAATTTTTAGTTTATTTTTAAATATATTCGATAAACTTTTCAAATTATGTATATGAAGTCTGTGGCTGCTTGGTGACTCATACCCATCAACTTAATTTCTGTGAATATATTTATGAAAACCAAGAGAGGTCTAGCTAGTTATCAGGGAAATAAAGTTTTAATTGCATTTTTTTTTTAAAAATAAGCTACTGTTTTTGAGATGTTTTAAAACATCTTTTTATAGTTGACTTCATCTCAGACTTCTGAAAGGACATGACTTCTTAACAAGGAGATTTAGTTTACCAAACAGTTTTGACTACCATGGAATTCTGAGAGATCTGATTGGCTACTGTATACCTGGCAGGTGGGGAACTGAAATATGATTGTGCCTTGCTCTAGCAATCTGCAACCACCTGGCTGTGGAAACCTAAGTTCACACTGGCTTAACTCTTCCCCTCTTGTTCCCTGCAATTAGTTAAATAATGATTATGATAAGTTATAATTTGGTAGAAGAAAAACGGTGGTATTTTTTCTCTTTTTAAGTTAAAGGAAATGGGCAAAATGTGAAATTCTGGATAAGTAAATAACTAATTAAATTACTAAAGTCTGGTTGCTTTGTATTATTTTAAACAATTAAAACTAACTTTCTACAAAGAAGCCAATCTAGGGAAGCTCAAGGAAGGAAAAACTCTGAAACATATTTTGACTGGCATAATTTATCCATTAAATTTTCAGTTTTTATCTGAAGTAAATTGGGAAAGGTAAGGAAAACAAAGCAAATTAAGCTGAAAGAACAATCAAGCTGCCAGGTGCGTGGTGGTGCACACTTTATTTTTTTTTTTTGGTACCAGGCATTGAACTCAGGGGCACTCAACCACTGAGCCTATCCCCAGCCTTTTTTATATTTTATTTATATCACTGAGTTGCTTTGCACCTCATGATCCTCTTGCCTCAGCCTCCCAAGCTGCTGAGATTACAGGTTTGGGCCACAGTGCCGCTGGTGGTGTGCGCTTGTAATCCCAGTGACTCAGGTGGCTGATAAAGAAAATCACAAGTTCAAAACCAGCCTCCGTAACTTGGCAAGGCCCTGTCTCAAAAAATAAATAAGGCTGGGGATGCATCTCGGTGGTAAATCCCCAGTACCAAATGAGAGGAAAAAAAAAAAGTCAAGCTGTTTTTAGACTTAAGTATTTTCATGAAAAATCCCAATTTTTCACACGATTAATCTTCAAATGAAAAGCTTACCTGGCTATCTTGGATGCACCAAAGCATCCAACTGGATGCAAATAAGTTAGTCCTACAAATGTGGTAAGCTGGTTTCTTTTCCAAATTTTATGAATAGAACTAAAGGTTCTTTGGGGGTAAGAGAATAAGAGGTGAAGGAGAAAGGAAGAGAAAAGCAGAGGTTATAACAATGGAATTAAAAGCTGTCAGAAGACGTCTGAGTTTATTTATAAAAGAAGAATTATTATGCTGAAAAATAGATATCATTGGGAAACATTAATGTTACTGACAAGCATCCTGCCTGAGTATACAAAGGGCCAAAATGAAATACTTAAAAGCAATGGGAGACACAGAAAACTAGTAGTTGATTTAACTGAGTTCAGACACTAATTATAAGGACTATGTTCTGTTAATACCAGCATACATTTGCCTAGTGCCTCAGTTTTATTTGATTCTTCTGATAACTCAGATGAGGAAATGGTGGTACTAGACCAGAATCCTCTGCATTCTGTGGGATATTTCCCTTACAACAACACACAGCCATAGGAGGCAGCCTGGCTACTAAAGTACAGTTTGTGTAAAACGAATCGAGCTTCAGAAAGGATGGTGCTCGGCAAAGGGAAAAAAAATAGTGGCATTTTCAAATGTTAGTATGATCACGGTGATAACGGCCATAAAACTGATGACTGAAGTGAATATTGAGATATCTGGCATTTTATGTAGTGTGACAAAATCTACAAATCTCAAGTTTCTTTAAGCCAAATAATCTGAGCAAGACACAAATATACAATTTATTAAAAACACATTAACACATTAAAATCTCACTATTTGTACAATCTATTCTAGCAACATATACAAATACTGAGTGACTACAGTACATGCCGAGGTAAGAAAAGTACATTCTGGGAGAATATAACTGACACCCAAACCATTTTTACTTCCAATATATATTCCGATTCATGTTTTATTTCTACCATTCCCAGTGCCAAATAAAAGAAAAAAGTAAAAGAAACTAGTCACAAGTTGAATTAAATGAGAACTGGTGCCACAGTTGACTTAAAAAGTATTTTAATAACATCCAATGCCTATTTGCATTTTTCAGTTTAGGTACTAAGTTCAGAATCAAAAGGCAGAGCTAATAAATTTTTGTTTTCTTCTTTTAAAGGCAGAGTTTCATCAGTTCTCTTAAGAGTTGAAAAAGCTTTCAATGTCCCACATAATCTACTAGTTCTTTCTAGGTGCCTCATCTGACATGGTGTTTCTATAGCCCTAATTTAGCTCTCCAGGTGACAATATAGAACCAAGGCAAAGATGCTCTGGACTTACCACTCTCCACAGCTTTGTGGCCACATTCAGATGGATGACCTCACATTCTGCTCTCCCCTTCTGGGAGAGGGAAGAGGAGAGGCAAGTGTACATATAACACTGTGATTTTAACCTGTGTATAAATTCTCTACTTCAACCATTTTCACCATTGAGTAAACCCATTGTTCAATACAAAGTGCAAATAATGAAACGTGAACTTAAATGACTGGACTAGACCTGGCACATTCAACAAGATTTAGACTTACAGCATTTAATAAAATATAAATCATAATTCACAATGTCTTTAACTGTGCTGGTTCCTAGAATCAAGTAACAGCCAAGTCAGTGTAATTTTATGAAGTCAGTAATGGCCACACTTGCCACATCACTGTCTGATTCTATTTCTATATTTGTATTATCAGGAAAAAATTTAATCCAATAACCCACAGTGACTAAGTCTTAAATATTTCAAGCAAAGAATAAAAAAAATTCAAGGGAATTTTGACAACAATAGTTACTTTCACATTTTTAGTTGTTACTTGATTGTCTCCAAAGCTGTATATATCAGACATATAAATGTAATAAAAACCAGAAATAAAGAATTCTAATATGAAAACAAACAAAAGTACAAAACCAGAAAAAACATTTGAATCAGGCTCAGCAATTCATCTGGAAATTAAAATATATAAAAATAGTAAAAACTATTTTATTAAAATCATTGGTAGTTTAAGGGACAACAGCACAGTGGCAATATGAATCAAGTCTTAAAATATGCATCATTTCAGAAAACATTTGCCTCTCATTGAAAGAAAGATTTAAAAAAAAAAAAGCTCCAGGGAAAATGATCAGGTTGCACAATTATACAAAAATAGCAAGTTTCTTTGGGAAAATGCAATAGTTATTGAAACATCTCTCTTAAAGCTTCAAACAGGCATATGACTTGAGGAAAAGAATATTCCCTGTGTACTAAGGATGAATATAAACAACAAAATGGTTTACTCTGTTCCCACCTGAAAGGGGATAACTGCATTAATACATGTGCTTTACAAATTCACTTATGGTTTAATAAAAGTACAACATCTGTGCTTTTTGTTTAAAAATATGCATTGAGTTTTCAATGAGTGAAAATTGTGCCTCTAAGTTTGAAAAACGAAAAGCAAATGAAAATAAAACCAACAAAATTGAACAAGAAGAAGGCAGGGAAGCTGCAGAAATAAACAGTTCTCATTTAGAAGCAATCTTTTTAAAAATACTGATGCACTTGTGGAAGTGAGCAAAATGAATACTGTTCAACTTTATTCAAACATCATAATCTGCTGGCATGAGCCAACAGAAATATCTAGAACCTGATGGAAAAAATACATTTTAACATTTAGTCTACACACTAAAGCTTACGATAAAGGGAATGTCAAATTCATATATTTTTATCATGGTGAGCTTACATTGTCTTGCCAGTCTAAAGACATTTAAAAATGGGATTTTCGATATAGGCTAATATATTACAGATGATATCTAATTTTACTCCATCTGAAACTAGTTCTGGGCAGGTCATGAACAAGTGGCAACAAGGAAGTTGCCAGGAGGTATCAAAAACAATTTCATTGGCAGGATGTGATGATGTCTGTTCCCTAGCTATGACAACAAAGGACTACTGACACCTCTTACCACACACACAAGGCGCAATCACACAGTATCAAAGAACACGTGTTGGGTTTCTATTTCTTATACTAGTTTTACTGGGTAAAAGTGAATATATAAAATATTTGACTAAAATTATAAAATACCATGAGACACTAAAAAAATTTATATGTATGTATACCTATGTGTGTATATATGTGTACGTGTATACATACACATATATTTTTTATATGTATATATCTCCAAAGAGGACAAGTTCTGGTTACTTTTTGTTGTAGTTTTTGAAGGAAGTTTAAATTACTTCTGAGTGAAGAGGGGAGAGTCTCCTTTAGGACTTTTCTAAATTGTAAATTGTTTCTCTTCTGTTTCCACCTTAAGAAGTACACTTGAAGACATCAGAGGATCTGAATTCATGAGACTGATAATGCAAGCATCACCTACTGCAATAAAATATTTTATAAACACATGAATGGGGCTAGCCACAATGGGCCCTGGGGCAGAAAGAATAAGCAGGGATGAGACCAAGTCCATGAACTGCTTCAACTCTTAAAAGTATCAAGAGGGGAAAGTCGGTCACTTTTCCAACATGGATCTTCCTAAGGAGATACCAGGGTGTATGGTTGTGGTCAAATCAAACCTTATCTCATTAATTATTTTCAAAAAAGAATACAGAAAGTAATAAAGGAACAGAAGAGGAAGAAAGCACGAGAGTACCCACCTTTCACAAAGGGAGAATTCAAGCCATTAGATATTTCAAGAACAGTACCATGCGTTATTGCCAGTCAGGCTTATAGAACCATCTCTTGAGTTCATTAATGTACCTGCAGCATTGGTAATAAATACTCTCAGTGATTTTCAGTTTCTCTGAAGTGCATTATAGGGAGCTTTTTCTGTATTAAAAATAGTGTTTTACAGTAGTAACAAACAGATGTTCAAAATTATCAGGCAAGCAGTAATTGTGCCACAGCAACACCTTTTAAGCGAGATAAGTAGTTTCCTGTACCTCGGTCACCACATTTTCCCAACCACTTCAGTGACAGATATGTAATACATTCTATATATTACTACAACTAATTAAAAAAAAAAAGGCCATGTGCTTTAAATTGATGCTTTGTAAAAAGCAGCATTACCTTCAAAGGATTTCTTTAAAAACATCACACTCCCCATTCTTGTCTGCTCCCGTCATTTCCTGCGTGCTCTGGGGCACCTGGTACACCAATTCATCTGGGACAGCTGGTCCTGGCTTCCCACCTTTTGGGGTATCATACTGGGCTCGGGCTGAGGAGCAGCTGTTGGTCCTGGAGAGAAGTGTATTATATGTTCCCACTAAAGTGGGAGGTTGGTTCCCTGTAGCTTTGAAAGTAGATGTGGAGGGCAGACCAACTGAAGCTGTGGGGTGCCCTGACATGTCCATGATGATGGGGGTTGCGTACTCAGGTCC